TTTTAATTATGATATAAAACTGTTTTTGTATTGTATTAGAAACTAAAAATATATAACTAAAAATATGTAACTAAAAATATTATATAAAAATTAATGTAATAATGATATCTCATATTAATCATGTTGTAAAACCAATTAAACCACTTTCGAGCTGATGTCTTTCGAGCTCGTGTCTTCGAGCTGATGTCTTCGAGCTAGTGACTTTCGAGCTAGTGTCTTTCGAGCTCATGTCTTTCGAGCTAGTGTCTTTCGAGCTTGTGTCTTTCGAGCTAATGTCTTTCGAGCTAATGTCTACGTCCCATATAAACAGATCCAAACATGGGTATATATTAAATGCTTATACAAGTTGATTAATTTGGCTAGCACAAAATAAAACTTGAAAAAATTCACCATAAGTTATCAGGGAAACAAAATTTCTAAAATAAAAATAAAAAACACAGTTAATCTTGCTAAATCTTACAAAACAATTGCTAATTAGAGTACATACTATTTTTCTCAACCACGATGTCATCATTGTGTAGAGCTTTACCCGTGAAACTCTCGTTACGGGGCGGCGTTCGGGTGGTAATGACTGGACTGCCTGTGGGCTTATCGTCGATACTATCGTAAAACGGTTGCGAATGTTTCCTAATAATAAGCACATCCCTCTCGCTATCGTCGGCATAGGTGTCCACTTGGTTACCATAGCAACAGCAACAACAAAACACCCTACGCGTGCATCGGGTAAATTGATCAGGTTTCTCTTGGCGCCATTTACTAACACTCAGGCCCGCTATGCATACTGTCACAACCAGGGCACCGGTCACCGAGGTCCAATCACTCTCCTCGCCCAACAACCATACGTTCCATACGAAGGCCAACACTATGTTAAGCGTACGGGTGATGGCCACGAGTCCGGCCGACTCATAATGTAAGGCTATAGTCATAAAGTACTGGTCGGCGATACCCAACACCCCTATCGCTACCAATAGGCCGTAACTGAGCCAACCGGCCGGCCAACGCCATTGGTCCACAATTAGCACCGTGGTAAACTCGCCGCCATGGCAACGCCTGAGAACCATATGATTACCACGGGCAACGGGGTGGTTTTTAATTTACGCAAAATAATCATCACGGTCGCTGTGCTACAAGCGGCCACCACCGAGAATATCAGGCCCTGTGTGCGGTCGGGTGTGCCGTACCCGTCGCTCCCCAATATAAACTCCGGTTTGGCAATGATTATAATGCCGCCAAACGTGGCAATGCCCGTAAACACCTGTAGACAGGTTAGCGGTTCGTGGAGTATGAATACGGCCAGGAATATGACGATTACGGGCGACGAGAATTGGATCGTGGTGGCGTCGCCTAGAGGTATGAGCCGATAGGCCTGGTATATGAATATGGCCGCTGAGGTGCCGGCTATAGCCCGGAGAAACAGGTCTATCCGATGCCCGCGTACGCCAAATATGGGGTGACGGTGGTAGATGATGGGTATCAGGTAGAATATTACTTGAAATGCGCACCTGTATGAAAGTATATAATGTGGTTAGTTAAATATAAGGTTTTTAAAAAAATATAAACTGTAAATTAATTATTTAAAATTATATATTTGCATATATACACTGAGAATATTAAGTCGCCGTATAGGCTCAATGTTATGAGAATTAGTCCTCGTTAATTAACATAACATAGAGCAGTGCACTTCTTCGCACATTGATGGAAAATGCAACCCTTTTTGTGAACTAGGTGCGAAAAAATTGCACTGTTTTCTGCTGCAAATTAACACTACTAATCCTAATAACATTGTCCTATACGGCGATACAATAATCTGGCTGTACATTAAATGCAACTTACGTATATCATAGAGTCCATTGGACATCATTATGCCAACGGCAGGTATAATTTCAAATATGGACTTTTGTTCACCAATTTTTACCTCGATATATAAATACGTATAAATATTATTTATTTATTTAAATTAGAACTAATTAATTTAATTAAAATGATAATTTATTTTAACTTTGTCTTTTTTGATAAAGAAACTCATTTCATGTTTAAAGTAAATATAATTGGTTTTATTTAATACTTTAATCATACAATTAATATAAGTTATTCTAATTGTTAACTATAATCAGTTTTGTTTGTGTTCTTTCGTCAAATGTTGTCTTAATTCGGATTTCCTATAAAACCGTTGATTACAGTTATTATTAATACAGTTATGAAGTTTTATATTATTATGTCTTCTCATGTGATCGTTGTAATGGGATTTTTGTCTAAAATCTTTTTTACAATCATTGAAATGACAGACAAATGGTTTTTCTCCCGAATGTATGCGTTTGTGTTTAAATAAATTTGATTTCAGATTAAATTTTTTGCCACAATTTTCTTCAATACATTTGAATTTCTTTTCATTCAAATGAACACAACTTTTGTGTCGAAATAAGTCTCGTTTTGTTGTAAAACATTTGTGGCATTCATTGAAATCACAAATAAATCTCACATTTAAATGAATGACTTTTTTATGTGTATATAAATTACTTTGTGTCTTAAACATTTTATCACAATTATTAAAATCACATTTAAATTGTTTAATTTCTGAATGAATTGATTGATGTCGAGTTAAATCACTTCTCAATTTGGTTTTGTATTGACATTTAGGCCAAAAACAGTGAAAATAATGATTATTTTTCAATCAATC